TTTTCATAGTGATTAAAATTATATTTTGGTTTTTTAAGTTTTTATTTAAATTCCAGTTAACAGGGTGCCTGAGTGGCTCAGTTCATTTAGTGTCTAACTTCAGCTCAGGTCTGGATCTCAAGGTTCATGGGTTGAAGCCCTGAGTCAGACTCTGTGCTGACAACCCAGAGCCTGGAGCCTGCTTCAGATTCTGTGTCTCCTTCTCTACCCCTCCCCCATTTGCACTCGGTCTGTCTCTCTCAAAAATAAACATTTAAAAAATATTATTAAATTCCAGTTAACATACAATGTAATATTAGTTTCAGGTATACAATTTAGTGATTCAACACTTCCATACAACATCTGGTGCTTATCATACCAAGTGCACTCCTTAATCCCCATCGCCTATTTAACTATTAATCCCCACCCACCTCCCCTCTGGTAACCATCAGTTTGTTCTCCATACGTAAGAGTCTGTTTCTTGGTTTGATTCTCTCTCTCCTTTCCCCCCACTTTGTTCCTTTGTTTTGTTTCTTAAATTCCACATATGAGTGAAATCATATGGCATTTGTCTTTCTCTGACTGACTTGTTTTGCTTACTATTAATACTCTCTAGCTCCATCCATGTTGTTACAAATTGCAAGACTGCATTCTTTTTTATGGCTAATATTCTTCTCTCTCTCTCTCTCTCTCTCTTCTTCATCCATTAGCTAATGGGCATTTGGGCTGTTTCCATAATTTGGCTATTATAGATAATGCTGCTATAAATATTGGGGTGCATGCATCCCTTTGAATTATTGTTTTTGTATTCTTTGGGTAAACACCTAGTAATGCAATTGCTGGGTCATAGGGTAGTTCTATTTTTAACTTTTTTGAGGAACCCCTACTGTTTTCCAGAGCCACACAATTAAAAAAAAATCAATATGCTCTGAGTATGGAAGGTAAATGAAGGAAAAGTCACTTCTTGTAAAAATAATATTTCAGTGTGTAGAAGCTGTAGCGTAAGAATAGGAGACATAATGAAGTCGTCAGATGTCTGCTGTCACTTGTAGACAAACTGTGAACTCAAACTTACACAGGTCTGCTGTTCCGTACTCAGGGACCATGAGTTCTGTTGCTGTTGATGATACGGTTTTCCAAAATAATGACCAACTCTTTGTAAATTCCAAACAAAACAAATTACAACTGCCCCTCAATTTACCCAGCCCTAGAAAATTCAATGTATATAAAATCATGAAACAAAATGCTTTGTATTAATATGTGAAATGGGGAGATGGACACCTGGGTGGCTTATTCGGTTAAGCAGCCCAATCCTGCTTTCGTCTCAGGTCATGATCTCACAGTTCATGAAATCAAGCCCCACATCAGACTCTGTGATGACAGCACAGAGCCTGCTTGGAATTCTCTGTCTCTATCTCTCTCTGCCTGTCTCCACAGCTTATGTTCTCTCTCTCTGTCTCTCTTTCTCCCTCTCTCTCTCTCTCAAAATAGATAAATAAACTTTAGAAAAAGTATTAAAATGGAGATAGATTTGGGCTCAGAAATTGTAAAGAGGTTTTTATCATTTATAAAACTGTTTTCATAAACAGGTCCTTTGGGACCCTCAGAAGTTCTATAAGACACAGGAAAATGCTTCCTTCTGTGGGACAGTCCCACACTGCAGACTGTCTAATGAATCCTCCCCATGTAATGCCTCAAGTGCCCACAATCATTATGAAAACCATGGACACCCCCACAGATCTCCAAAATTCCCCCTAGGTGGCAGTACTACTTTTGTTGAGAGCTACTGGCTTCCAGTATTTTCTCCAAAGCTGCCCCCACTGACAAATGTTGGAAAGCTGATTCTAGCTGTGAAACCAAAGAATGGTAACACTAGAAGGGGCCCTGAAGTCTATCTCTCTGCTCCCTCACTTTACCCATGTTAGGTAAGTAACTTGCCCTTCGACACTCAGTTATTATATAATCTAAGATAAAAACCATGGTTTCCCTTTCTTTGGTTTTTATTTCTTATTCAAATTAGAAAGATACTTTTAAATATGTCTCTTCATGGGGCTCCTGGGTCGCTCAGTTGGTTAGGCATCTGACTTTACCTCAGGTCATGATCTCGCAGTTTGTGAGTTCAAGCCTCACATCAGGCTCTGTGCTGACACCTCAGAGCCTGGAGCCTACTTCAGATTCTCTCTCTCTCTCTCTCTCTCTCTCTCTCTAAAATACATAAACATTGGGGCACCTGGGTGGCTCAGTCAGTTAAGCGTCCAACTTCGGCTCAGGTCATGATCTCATTGTTCGTGGGTTCGAGCGCCACGTCGGGCTCTGTGCTGACAGCTAGCTCAGAGCCTGGAGCCTGTTTTGAATTCTGTGTCTCCCTCTCTCTCTCTGACCCTCCCCTGCTCACGCTGTCTCTCTCTCTCAGAAATAAATAAAACATTTAAATAAAGAAACATTTAAAAATATATATGTCTCTCCTACACACCATATATTTGAAAAAAGTGGAATGAGAGACAACATTTTCCAGGTCTTTTTCAGGATATTTGGGGCTGAGGTCACTTACTCCTCACCACTGAGATTCAGTGCCAGGCTGGATACTCCCTAATGCCCACTAAAAGCCTGGATTCTTGCATACAAATAAATCAGAAAGATGCAAAAATAAAATCCTTTACAATGCATCCAAAAGAATAGTCTCCAGGAGCAGAAATTGTCTTACCTAGTTAGTGTCTAACTTATTTTCCTACTGTCCTTCCCCAACTCCAGCTATCAGAATCCAAGCTGGACTTTGGGAAATAAATGACTGATTTCCTATGCTCCTACCCTGGGCGCAGCTCAGGGCCTCTTCCTCTGCCTCATGACAGCAAGGCACTGGCTCCTTCAAAGACCTAAGTGAGACTTGGCTATTTGCTAATTACCCTTGGCAAGAGGGTTCTAATGGTGAACTGGGTATTTTTACATATAATTTGGCAGATCAAACATTAAGTGGAGAACCACTGATTGCCCAAACTTCAAAATTAATTGGCTCTCCAAATTAAATTTATAATCAAATTACTGCCATTTTCAAAAGCATTGGTTGAGAAATTTCTATTTATAAGCCGTGTGCATTATCAGGGGTAAAGAGGGTGAAGAGATGAGCTCACAGGATGTAAGAATTATTGGATAAAGCTATGGATCCTATACCAAAGAGCGGATTTAGGATTGCCTCCTAATCCCTTCCTCACACTTTACTAAAAGGGCAACCTACTGTGTATCTGCAAACCCGACTCCCTTCAGGACAGGAGAGCATAGAAGCCCTGCAAGCATCTGAGGAAACACTATCAGGCCCTCATACTGGTGCTTATACACTCTACACTCTCCTACACTCTAACAATTTAAACATCGGGTGTTGGAAGTGGCAATTTAGAAAAGGAGGTGCCCTGCCTGTTCAAGGTAATCCTGTGATAGCAACAAAAAGAAGCAACTTACTGTCTGACCTCCAGAAAGGAGGTGAAAAACTGTTTTACAAAGGTGCGCGGGCAGAGGGCCAACATAGATACTCAAAACAAAAACAAAAACAAAAAACAGTGGCTTAGGTCATTGGGTGCAGGGATGGATGTCTTTGCTAGCCTTGAGGTCTCCATATGTAGAACAACATAGTCATTGATGTAAAAGAAAAGTGAACCATGCTCAATATGTTTTGCAGCAAACTCCATAAAATTCAGTGTAACAGGTAGAATCTTCGAGTGTCAGAGTAGAGAGGCCCTTACAAGAGCATCCCTGTCTAATTCCTTTATTTTACAAAGAAGGAAACTGAATATAAAGGGATGAACAGGTTCAAGGCAGAGTTGAGACAAGAGCACAGGCCCCTGGTCCAGTGCTCCTTTCACATGGACGCCCTGAGAGCCGGCACCACTAAGAGGTAGAAAAAGAGAAAGTGCATCACCTTTAGCTATTCATTGTGCCATGGCTTCTGACATCTCTGTTTGTGCCTCCTTGCACTGATTTCACTCCCTTCAAAGGAGAAGAAACCTGCTCTCTTTATTCACAAAAGAGTGAACTATTCTTCCCTGATTTATGATGAGAGAACCTCAGGGTTGGCTCTTAACAAAATTGGACTGGAGGTAACGTTTACTTTGAGATCCCTCCTACGACCCATTCCTGGCGTGTTTTCTCCAAGCTGTCCTAGGTTTGTCCTCCAACTTGGCATCCCACCCACTGGCCGCAATCCAGAGACCCTAGCACGATGTAGGGAACTCTCCCAGCTCCCAGAAGTTTGGAGTATTCCCAGTCTCTTTCTAATTTAATTTATAATTCCATCAAAGAAAGGCAATAGGGGCATCTGGGTGGCTCAGTCAGTTAAGCATCCACTCTTGATTTTAGCTCAGGTCATGATCTCATGGTTGTGAGATCAAGCCTCACCTCGGGCTGCACACTGGGTGTGGAGCTTGCTTAAGATTCTTTCTCTCTCTCTGTCTCTACCCTCCCCCATTGGCATTCACACTCTCTCTCTCAAAAAAAAAACAACAAAAAAAAACTACTCACTCACTTATATTTGCATTTTCTATTAACCCTACTTCCCATATGTAGTACAGAATCTTCACAGATTGCTTGAACTATCATGCTCAGATGAAGAGGACCTCTGTAATATGCAAAACTGAAAGAGAAGAATATTATACATAATGTAAACCTAGTGTCATCAAGTGTGGAGGGTCATAATGAACTAGACCCATGTTCATTCTGACACATAAGGACACCTAAGGAACATGACAGAGACATATACAACAAATAGGACTTTTTCCAAATAAAGAGCAGTTTCCAATAGTTCATTAAATTACTTCTGATTCTCTTCCCAAGCATTCAGGTTAACAGCTTTTCAGAACTGACGTTGAAAGATGTTAGAATTGGCCTTGAATTTATTCATATACATAAAATTTTATGTATTTGTTCTAAGATCCCAGAGAATCCCAGTAGTTTGTGCCCAAGATGGTTAACCACCATGAGGTTGTTAGCTCATCTCCTAAAGTCCACCACCCATGTGTGCTTCTGCCATTCAGGCGTCTGCTATGCAGAGTTTGGAGTCCGTGTTCCCAAGACAACGGGGTCAGCCTACACCTACAGTTACGTCACTGTTGGGGAATTCGTGGCATTTTTCATTGGCTGGAACCTGATCCTGGAGTACCTGATTGGCACTGCAGCTGGCGCCAGTGCTCTAAGCAGCATGTTTGACTCGCTGGCAAACCACACCATCAGCCGCTGGATGGTAGACAGCGTGGGAACCCTCAACGGCCTAGGTGAGGCTGCCATATCCTCTTACCCCAACATGCGGAATTACCCCAACAAATAAATGGGTTCCTCCTTCAGGATTCAATTTGGCAAAATGCATCAAGATCCTTAAATATGTCTCTCTCCTTTTTTTTTTTTTTTCCAGAGTAATTCTTCTTCTGTGAATCTATCCTAGGGAAGTCATTCTAATTTCCAAAAAAAAAAAGCTTTATATGAAAAGATATTCATCATAGCCTTATTTATATTAAAGATTAGAAATCGCCTAATTATTCTATAGTGGAACAAATGATTAAGTAAATTGTGGAAGCATATTACGTAGCAGTTAAAAGGATGATTATGAGGACTGTTGTAATAATATGGAATAGGTTAATGATGCAATGTCATGCAACAAAGGATACAAATGGTATATGCATCATGTTAATAACTATATAAAAATAAAACCAATGCAGGAAAAATAACTGTAAGGAACTTCTCTAGTGGTTTCAGCAATGTTTTTTAATTTTCATAAATAAGCACGTATTAATTTTTAAATGAGAAAATATACTTGTAAAGAGGAAAAATGGATTCCAGTCTAGCAGAAGTCAAGGAAGGTTACTAGAACTGGGTGAGCAATGAGCAATCAGAAGCTCACGTAAAACATGCCATGCACTCTATCCGTCACTTGTCCCACTTTCCATCCTAATGTCTGACTTTAACCTCTCATATTCATGGGAAGCCAAACAATAGTTGGGGAAGCTTTGGGGTCTTGCCCCAGAACTTCCAAGTATAGATTCTGTGGCTGTGTGCTAGTCATGTGACTTTGGTGTCCCTATCTTAGAGTAATTGACAAAAATGTTGAGCATGCAGATACCATAAGAAGATAAAAAGGTATGAAGACCACATCTCCACAATATACTGATTTCATGGAATGTTTAGGCTTGTCCAAACTCTTCACTTTACAGATGAGGTCCAGAGAACTGAGGTATTTGCCCAAGGCCACACAGCGGGTCATGGGCAAAAGTACAGCTGAAATTCAGGAGCCTGACAGCTGAGGCAGTGCCTTTTCCATTCTATAGAGGGCAGGAGTCCACTGACCAACAGACAAGTGGGATGTGTTCACTGCTTATCTTCTCTGCAAACAAATACACATAAATGCAAACAACACCCTCTTCCAATAGTGTTCAAAGATACACATTTTCAGACTTTCTAAAAATGAAAAGATTACTAGGATGGAAAATTTATGGACTATAAAGTGAACAACAGTGAAGATAAAGCATTTTTTAAATGACATGTTAAGCCCATGATATACACCACCAGTATGTCAGGACAGTTCTGACTTCGAGTGTTCTGTGCCATGGTTCCCTAGGCTGTGTTGTCTCTGTCATATCATGTATCCCAATTTTTGGTCCAGGATATTAGGTCGTCTTCCCTGTATTTCCATACAAATTTGCAAATAGACACTTGCGGACCACAGTGTAGGCACAGGCACTCACACAGACACACACTTGCACACAAGCCTCTCCTCTCTCCATGACAACCTGATCACCCTTGTCAGAGCTGAGTGCGAATGTTCTGAAGGAGCGCTGCTGGGAGCTTGCATGGCCCTTTCTCCCCTCTGAATGATATTAACTCAGGTCTTTCCCCTCTAGGGAAAGGTGAGAAATCATACCCTGACCTTCTGGCTCTGGTGATTGCTGTCATTGTCACCGTCATTGTTGCACTGGGGGTGAAGAATTCCGTGGGCTTCAACAATGTCCTCAACGTGCTGAATCTGGCCGTGTGGGCGTTCATCATGATTGCAGGCCTCTTCTTCATCAATGGGAAATACTGGGCTGAGGGCCAGTTTTTGCCCCACGGCTGGTCGGGGGTGAGTTCATTTCTAAAGCCTCCCATGGCTATTGCACACTCTACCTTTCATCTTATGGCTAGTCTGAGATATATTTTTAAGAAAATGTTGCTCTGTCCAGTAATCTTCATGGCCTCTTTTTCATTACTTTTTATCTGAATTTAATTGGAATGCTCTGAAAAAGTGGTCCTATGTAATTTTTAAATTATGTTTCATAAACATTTATTGAGATCCTATTTTATACAAATAACAATAAAAGATTTGATGTTTTGGCCACGTGAAATATGCCTAATCCTATGCTAAGTGCACTGCCTGTAATATCTAAGGGTCCTAATAACCTTGCAAAGAAGATATTTACATTCTGGTCTTATAGATGAAAAACTCAAGCTTAGAGAGGTCAGTGTGTGATCATCATTACACACACAATGTAACTGGCAGAGTCAAGACCCAAAGGCAGGATGGTCTGACTCCAAAGCCTGTACAGCATGGTCCTATAGAATCTCTCTGGAGTATTTTCAGAGAGACACAGCTCTAGTAGACAAGGGAGTAAAGACGCCAGGAGAGTGGGTGGGTAGGAAAGGGATGAGTGTTGCCTGGGTACAGAACTAGAGAAAGAACAATTTTTAAATTTAATCCCAACATTTGGCCCGATATGGAGAGCCCCACTGAAGTCCAAGTGCAGCTGGGCCAGCCCAGTGAGGGCCGCTTATAAATCCCATTCCAGTGGCATGGCTCACGGCAGAGAAGTCCACCTGAAGTAGACCAGAGAGTAGGCTGGACCAAAAGGACATTTTCAGATCTCATCCCCATGATCTGGGTGGTGAGGTTTATGCTCAAGAAAAATGGGAAGGTCAGAGTGGCAAATTCTTTTTGCTGACAAGTAGTTCTAAATTGTGCCTGGATCCTTTTTCTAATATGACTAAAAATGCCTACTTATGAATTCATTGGTAACATTTGCCTACCTATCTCTCTTTTTTAAAAAAAATTATAGAACATAAATCAGAGAATTTTGAGCTGGGAGAGATCTTTGAAATCACCTGGTCTTATCCCTTCACCTAGCGGGTGAAGAAACGGAGGCCATGAGAGGCACAGCAGCCTAGCACTGGCAGACAGCACGTCTAGGACTCTGCCAGATTTGCTTTTGTAGCTTTTGCTTAGACTGGTTTTCCTCCAAGATGTCCAGGGACCAGAAATTTCTCTTGGAGAACGCTCAAAATAACTCCAATTTATTCTGAACCGTGCCACACTGTTCAATGCTGAGAAATAAGCAAAGGAGGAATTTAAGCCAAGATTTCTAGTCTTCTGCTTATCTGTAAGTACCGCAAAGTTCATCCCTCCTCCCTGAAGTGAATAAAACCCGAAACTGGTCAAAACCAGAAGAGACAAAGAAACACTGTTGACCCCATTCTGGATCCCTGAGTCTATATTTTCTTACAATACAAATCATTCCTTTCCTATCAAATAAGAAAAACAATATATTACAAGAGTGGCAAAGAAAAACATGTTTTTCCGGAACTCAACTGCATTTCCATCATAACACACAAAGGCGTTCCCATCACATTTTTCACAACCTAAGAAATTTGGGGGTCATGGGTTTACTGTTAAGACTTTGACCAACAGCTAACTTCTGTGCTCTCAGGTTTTCTCATCCACCAAATGGGAAAACTAATTGCATCAAATGTTTGCCAAAAAGAATAACATGTTGCATATTTTTTTAGTATACATTGTGTGGTTAGCAATAGTGTTAATTAAAGGAAGAAGGAGCTAGAGTTTATCGACTACCTATTAGGTGCCCAGCGTTGGGCTCTATGGATATTATTTCACTCTTATAACAAAACTTTAAAGCAGGTGCTGTTGTCCCCATCTGAACAGGTAGAGAATCCAAGGAGAGGGTAGGGAGCTTACCTGAGGTCACTTAGCTTAGTCGGGGCCAGGACTGAAATTCCTAGTTGGGTCTATGTGACTACAACATGCTTTCTACTGCATGGACTACCTTGTGCATGATCACTCCCTTCCTTCTGAGCCTTCTCTTTAAAAATGTACTAAGGTATTTTATCCAACGTGTCACATTTTCATTTCCTTTAACATTTTACAAAGTGATAAAGCCTTAGAGCTATGAGAAGCATTAAGACATGGTCTAGCTCCTTTTCTTACCTTCAGTTGGGAGTATAAATCAACCAAGGCCAAAGTGCATTGTTTACTAAAACAACATAGCAAAGCAATTTGAAAACCTTTCTTAGTTACTCAGCTCATGTCAACTTTTCAAAATCCTCCTAAGAGTTCATCCAAATGGCGTGCATTGTAGTCTAGGCCCCATGTAAAGACTAGAAGCAATTAATCTCTTCTGTGCCCATGCCAAAAGAGATGAATGAATCTTTTACCCTTTCCCCTGTGCTTTGTGCTGGGGTATTTAGTCTCTTTGGGGTCTCCTCTTCCCACTCAAGGCTTCCATATCCCTCCTCAGGATAGTCAGGAATCTACCTCATCAAAGAAGGAACTAAATCAAGCCAGCCTTAGCGGCCCCCATTTATACATAACCCAGGTTCTTAGTAGCTTTTGTGGCAAGAAAAGAAGATCTGAAGTCAGGCATAAAAAAAGAAAGAAATCATACCATTCCTAACACTAACCATTTTCTTTGTGATGCACTCTTTCATGTACACTTTTAATTTAATCTTCACAGCAGCCTTACAAAATAAGGACAATGATCTCTACTCTTAGATCAAAAATACCTTAAATTGAGAAAAGTTAAGGCTACAGATATAGATCATAATGGAGCTAAAATTCAATCCCAGTCCTGCTTGAGTCAAAGCCCTATTTACTCCACTACTCCCTAACCTGGGTTTGGACATATGGGACCAATTGTCTCTCTTTGCACCTTTGACCTCGCTAACCTCACTGCAATCCAACCCTATGATTTTGAGTAGGCTTGTCATTGGCCACCAAAAAGTTCTGGCTGGGATTTTGTATTTTTCACTGCAAATCCACTATCCCTGCAGGAAATTAAAATATGTGTTCTAGTGGCTGTGACTAAAAGCATCAGCTGAGCACAAAAGAAAGCCCAGTTCGAGGATGTTGCTGACTCATCCTCTTTTCTATCTGCCTGGCCTTGGACTTCTGCATAGTACATTTCCTCCCTAGCAAACCAGCTTGGACCTGTTCTTTCTCAACTTTGTGTTCTGGTCACTTTTCCAGTCCATCAAGGCCACTTTGTTTTCTGTGGGAGTTTTTTTGAGTTTTTTTTTCCTTTTTTTTTTTTTTTAAGTAAGCTCTTCACCCAATGTAGGGCTTGAACCCATGACCTCAAGATCAAGAGTTGTGTGCTCTACCTACTGAGCCATCAAGGTGCCCCTAAGCAAAGCCACTTTGAATATGGATACTAAATTTTAAGATCTGAAACCCTCTCTTGGACCTATCATCCACCAAGTTAATAAACACAATCCCTACTCTGTTATCAATGACTGTCAACAAAAGTGAGTTGACTACTTGGCAGCTGGATGGACTTCTCCTTAGGGTAAACCTGAGCCCTATCCCTGACAAAGGGCCAAGTCCAGAGTTCCGATCCACTTTACTCTTCAATCACTTCTGGTAGGATGAGCTGGAGAAGATCCTTGTGTTGTGTAGGAGATGGTTTATAAGAATACCCAGTACATGACTTGACACACAAGTACTTTGAAAGGGTTAATAATGAACAATCTGTCCTCTGGCCATGGACCCCTCACAAGCCTACTCTTTCCCTGCTCCAAACACATCCTTCCAAAGAAAATAGCTTCAGGAATGGTTTACTCACTTACAGCTTCTGGGTCAAATGCTGCTTTGGTCTTGAAGAGCTGAAGAACAACAAACATTTTTCTCTAGATCAAGTAACTGCTGGCCCTCAGCTGAACCCTTGCTTCCATCTGCAGTTCCTCAGCCCCTGAACATTGTTGGATGTGTATTGCCTGTATGTTATTTGTTCTTGATGTTATCATATGTTTTTTTCTTGAACCAAATATGACACTCTACCACACAAATAGCTCTAAGGAAAATGGTCCTTAGCAAGTATTTGTGGGGAATGCAGATGGCCTCCAAACAAAGGAAAAGTTGGTTTTCGTGTTCTCCACATTTTAATTCATTTGCTGGAACCTATTAACACATTTTCCCACCATCACTATGGACAGGCTGCTAATAGATCCAGAGCTTGAGGGTGGTAGAAAATGCTATTAAAATTGGAGTTTTGTCTTGTTACCATGGGAGTGAATTATATAAAGGTGCTCAGTTATCTCCTAGACATCTGGCAGACTGGCCAAGGTGGAATATGGAGAGCTGCCTCATTCCTATGCCTCTTGAATATCAGCAGGACACAAGGGGCCAGCTTTTAGGGACCCCACACACTAAATAGCGTGCCACTAATGACATTGCTTTTGACAACCAAATAAGCAGAGGCCTCCAGCAACTGAGGCATGTGCTGCTTCCCCAGAGAAGCTCTGTAGAGGGATAGGCTGCTCTGGATCGCCCGGCCAAGCAGGTACACCAGCTTTCCTCTGGAGAACTTTCTGCTTATGTTGTCAAATTAAAAAGTCAATGCTATTTTTATTTATGCAAAATATGTTTTTAAAGTTAGGAGAAAATATCAACAAACCAGAAACATGCACATACACACATTTCACCCACCAATTTCATTCACAGATGCTCACTTCTAAGTACACACACATTCTTTCATGCATGGAAGGGAATCCTAATCACAAATACCAAGGCTCGGATCTGAGGTCTAGAGAGAATGAGTAGTTTTAGTGGTTATTTGGGTAAAGACACACCCGTACATAGTTACATTTCGTGACTCTTTTGTATTCATCAATCAGGGATCATTTGCTTGCAAGGAAGAAAACTTCATTCAAACTTACGTAAATAAAAAGGTGACCTTATGTGCTAATTTTATTACCTTCTCTTTGATAATCTGTGTATTTAATCATCTATACCTTGTTGATATAGGCCAGGATCTGTTTGATCTTGACAGGTATGCTCGGTTTTTTCCCTTTGCCCTCCCTCCCCAGGTCCATTATCCATCCTTCATACTTTGTTCTGTGCTCCAGAAGGCCCCTTGCTGGTTGCTCCCTATTGGACTTAGCCAATGGGCCTTCACTGAAATAATTTCATTTCAACCATCTGAGTTAAATCCTGTTTCCTGCCTAATGCAATAGAACCTCCAAATGTCCTTCCTTTGATCTATCCAGTCTTCCTTCAACTATAATGACTTTCTGCTTTTACATAGCAAATTCAGGCTAACAGACATTCTCTTTGCAAACTAAGAGAATGTTCCCAACTTGACCATAGTCAATATTCTGGTATCTCATCATTTTCAGTAGTTGCCATTTATTCTTTCAATTATTTGGAGAACAGTAGAATTTGTGTTTCATAAATAATATAGGCCCTTATTAATCTCGTTCAGTTTATTACCATAGTCAGGATTGTATTTTAGGTCTTGCAGTATCCTCTGGACTCCAAGCCACAGGAGGTTAAGCTCAGAGTACTTTTGCTATTGACTGTATCCACATCCCCAAGCACAGTGCCTGGCACATGGCAACAGTTAATAAAAGCCTAGGTCTTAAAAAAGAAAAGACAAGGAAGAGGAAGAATTTGTTTATACCTTTGGGTTTGATCTGTTCTAGAAATTTTACAATAGTAAAAAAGTACTGCTGGTAAGAGCTAATATTTATTAAGTACCTACTGTAGTCTATGACTTCAGTTCATTGTATTATCTCATTTAATCCTTATAACAAGTAGCAAGCCACTGGGGTGTCTGGGTGGCTCAGTTGGTTAAGCATCTGACTTTGGCTCAGGTAATGATCTCATGGTTTGTGGGTTTGAGTCCCACATCAGGCTCTGTGCTGATAGCTCAGAACCTAGAGCCTGCATTGGGTTCTGTGTCTCCCTCTCTCTCTACCCTTTCCCTGCTCATGCTCTCTCTCTCTCTTTAAAAAATAAATAAATGTTAAAAAAAAAAAAAAGAATTTAGAATAGATGAGCAGCTCTTAGATTATTTTGTGCTATGGACTCCTTGGCTGTCTGATGAAGCCTACGGCCCCCTTCTGAGAATCGTATTTATAAATGAATAACCTAATTACATAGGAACTCAAAAGAAAGCAAATATATTAAAATATAGTTATAAAAATATTTTTAATTATGATATAATAATGATGTGCTTCTTTATTAGTGCTTTAAATATTAATATCTATGTCTAATAACTATCATAATTTGGAAGTAGCAACAAGCACAAACAATATTTCAAGATCTCTGCAACCATCTAATATTATAGAAAAAATATTTGATTGCTATTGGTGACAAAATCATAGGTACTATTAGTTTGTCACTTACATTCATAATTTAAAGAAATGCTTATGTTCAGCCAGAAATTAGTAACAATAAAGATGTAATCTTTTCCTGGCAAAGTGCATGTACCACCACCACCCCCCACTGAGTTGAATGGACTCCAGGATAAAAATGCCCAGTTAGGAAATTGTAACTTTAGAATCCTAGTGGGAAAGACCACAGAAATGACCAAGTTACGTTACAGGTAAGCTTCTGAGGTCTGAGAAGATCTTCAGTTTGTTATGTACCTGGTAAATACCAGTACTTAGTATTTTATCTTTTACTTATTGAGAAGCCAGGGGGGAAGGTAAGAGTGAATATTTGGGCACAGGTATCTGCTTGGCACATGTTTCAATTTCATCATTTATAAGCTGTATGTGGAGAAAAGGGGGGGTGGGTGGGAAATGGTCCATTCCATGATGAATCTCACCCCTGGACCCCTGGCTAGATCTTGCATGTTGCCAAGGTCCCTCACCCATACACACAAGTCTAGAAAAAGCCCTCTCACCCTCCCCTAAAAGGACATTTCCCAAGCATTCAGAGAGGCACATTTTAAACTTTCAGCTGATAATGAGAATGCTAAGGTGGGGAAATTTCATTTAAGGTTTAGTTAATTCTTTGGAAGAAAGTAACACACTCCTCAAGGGAAGATTTGCACTGACATCTTGACTTACCAAGTCTCAACCACCCTTGCAGCCATGCAGTCTCCAGTCTGACAGACATCCAGCAGATGTCACCGGATACCACCTCCCCAGCCCTACACTGCCTCTCCCTGCACATCTTCTCCAGCCTTATAACCCAACTAGGTCACTACAGAAAAGTCAAACTGTCTCTACCTGTCTCCCCATGGAAGACAATCGGGTATCTGAAGATCTGAAAATCTTTTCTACCATTTCAGGTCTAGAAGTTACCACAGAGATGATGAGAGGCACCAATGGTAATTTATGCAGGACAATTCTTTGTGTGGAAGCATTTGAGCCCTATACACTAAATGCTGAAAGCACACCTCATGTCTCTGTGACAGTCACAAGTAGCTCCTCACATTTCCAAACACCCCCTAAGGGAAGTCATACAGCCCCTGGTTGTGGTTGAGAATGAGTAAAAGAAAATAAAGCACAGAGTGGTTAGTTAATGAGTTCCCCCAAGACTTAGGGATAACCAATTTATTGATTTATTTATAACCCTACTTATTTCCCAAAATGATTTGAATATGTTGAACAACCCAGTCTTTATTTGGCCATAATTCTTCTTCTCTCCATTTTACACATGAGGGAATTGCCCAGGATCACACAGCTAGAAAGTACAGGAGATCAGAACTCAAGTGTTGAGCATGAGTTCCACCATGTTATTCCCTGCGCTGCTCAGTAACGTGGCTGAGCGCTGAGCAGTTTTTGGTACCACATGTTAGGTCCTGCTGCTGCCCTGAAACTCTGAGTCTGAAAAATGCCATTGTCCTCCCAGGTGCTGCAAGGAGCAGCCACTTGCTTCTATGCTTTCATTGGCTTTGACATCATTGCCACCACCGGAGAGGAAGCTAAAAATCCCAACACGTCCATCCCTTATGCCATCACCGCCTCTCTGGTCATCTGCCTGACAGCATATGTATCTGTAAGTACTACATCCTTTCGGGACCATCTTGATGGCCTTTTCATATTTGACCTTAAGAAGTAGCTCTGGGACTGTGTCACCTTCTGTCAGGAAGTGGTCCCTTCCTTGTGTTTTCTTGGTTTCTGTATGCACGTGTCCGTGCAGCCTATATCCCCACCCACCAATGACAAGAAGAAAATCAGACTCCAAACTGGAGATGGGGGCCCTCTTGGCCTCTGAGTTTCCATCCCTGCACCTCCCCACACACAGGCTCTGGGTATCCGCTACTGCCCAGGGGATGGTGTACAGGGAGTGGGCTGCTGTCCAAGGAGCTCAGATCATAGGCTGGCAGTAACGGGTGGGTGTTCAAGCAGAAGCATTGTGGACCTCTGTGCACCCTCCTCAATGCTCTTCTGTCTTCTGGGAGCTTCCCGGCAGCGAGAGGCGAGGCTCCCCCAGAGTGGGGAGAGAGTGCATCATCCTCCAGAGACATTCTTCCCCTCAAATCTCAGGGGAAATGCAATTTCTTTCTGCCGTTGCTCCCTCTTTTCATACAAGTCCAAGCTCATTTTTCAAGTTTTTCTGCCAAGGGGAATCCTTAGAAGGAAGTCTTCAGCTTCCTGTCCTCACAGGATCAGATGCTCCTCAGACTTGTGATGTGTCATTTCTCTGTTCCCATCCCAGAATTTCTATCACAGAAATAGTTCACTCACAGCCAACATCTTCCTCAGCTCCTGGCAATGGAGAGAACCAGCCAACAAGCCAATAGGTGTGTGATCACAAAAATGCCCCAGGCCCTGAGGGTCCCACTCACTTCACTTACCACAAACAGGAAAGAGCCAGCAGCTGGAGGTGCCACCTCTGCTGTATAACATAGGAAAGGCACCTCCTGCCCCCAAAACAAACAAAATAAAAACAGCTTTAGCAACTACCTAAGGAAGCCAGACCAATGGTTGGCTTGGTCATTAGGGCAAGCTGCAAAATAAGATTGTTCTGAACACCAGAGGAAACCCCAAGAGCGACCTTGGATGTGGTTTATAGGAAGTCAGTTGCCCCTTGAAATTGTTTTATGGGTGGACCAATTATCACCTCCTCCTACACACACACACAGGCAAGTGGCTTCATTCTCTGATGATCCCTGCAGACAGTGTTCAGGGCGTGAGGTGGGGTGGGGCAGAGCATCTTAGGGCAGAGATACTCTGCTTTGCATTTCCCCTCTTATTCATCCCTTATATACCTCCCCCTCCTCCAGGGGTCAACCTCTGCAGCACACATAATAAAGTTGATCAGCACAATTCCTTTCTTAGCATAGCGCTTTATAGCCTATAGAGGACTTCTATCCATCTGCCTACTTGTTGCCCACCTGGATCTAACATGAACAGCAGACTCAACGCAAATTGCTGCAGGAATCAATCCCACTGTCCTCCAGCCCATCCCCAAAGGGGATGTTGCGAGTGGTGAAGTTGCTGAGAAACAGTCTCTTCTAGGACACGTGGCCCTTACCCAGGCTTCAGGGGCTGTTTGATCTTGCTCTGGTCAGCAGGCTGCCGTTCCACCATCAGGAGAAGAGCCAGATTGCTGGGCTGTGGTGGTCCATCTTGCTGTCCTCCCTAGCAGCCCGTGGCTTCATTGGAGGGTGTTGGCTCCTGAGGAATATGCAAAGAAGTGGTCTGGAAATGCCCACCCTCCCCTGTTCAGGCTCTGAACTCCCTTCTTGATGCTAGCATTGGCCTCTGCAGGCCAGGGGGAGCCTGAACCTGTGACTGGTGGTTTCATTGCCTGGGGCCATGAAGGGAGGGATGTTATGGCAGATTTATGACATGGGAAGAAAGATAGGTCCCAGGAGCCAAGTGGTTACTGGCTAAGCAAAGCCACAGTAGTCTTACAACCCCAGAGGAGGACTGGGTTTCATCCTGATGCCTTAATTTGTGGGCTGCCTGGCTCTTGGCACTGAGCTACAGAGAGGAAATAGAAATATAGTCCTTATATGGGTCCCTCTGCTAACTGGCTATGGACCCCTGATCACTTATCTTTGGAGTTTTTATCTCTGATCTTCAGAGTGAATGGGAGAATACAGTTAAGAATATATAGGGCCCTGGGGGCGCCTGGGTGGCTCAGTCGGTTGGGCGTAAGACTTCGGCTCAGGTCATGATCTCACCTTTCATGGGTTCAAGCGCCATGTCAGGCTCTGTGCTGACAGCTAGCTCAGAGCCTGGAGACTATTTCAGATTATGTATCTCCCTCTCTCTCTGACCCTCCCCTGTTCATGCTCTCTCTCTCTCTCTCTCTCTCTCTCTCTCTCAGAAATTAAAAAAAAAAAAAAAAGAATATATAGGGCCCTGAAAGTATAAAAGAAGTGGGAGTCTTCCCCATGTGGGCCGGGTGCCCATGGCCACTCCCAGGCCCTGGCTCCAGTGCCTTTGGCTCCAGTTCCTTCCACGTGGTAATATCTGCCCTCCATTGAACTGTCAGTGTAGTTCTGCTGTTGTGGGGCTTAGATACCTGCATACTTACTCTTCAGATATGAAAGAGCCTAAGAGAGATATTGAAGACCATCTGGTCAAGTCCACTAAATTCTAATGTGGGGAGAAAATATTGAGACCAAGAGCTCCAGAGGCCAAATGACTGGTCTAAATCAAGGGTGCATGCCAAGAAGTGGCAAATCCAAAGTCCTGGCCTCTTTGTTCTTCTATGGGACATCCGTCCATGCTGTCAGTCCTCTCCACCTCCAGCCATGTTTTCTCTTGTTTCAACAGGTGAGCATAATCTTAACTCTGATGGTGCCAGTCTATGCCATCGACACGGAATCCCCACTCATGGAGATGTTTGTGGCTCATGGGTTCTATGCGGCAAAATTCGTAGTAGCCATTGGGTCAGTTGCAGGACTGACAGTCAGTTTGCTGGGCTCTCTCTTCCCAATGCCAAGGGTCATTTATGCCATGGCTGGTGATGGGCTCCTTTTCAGGTAAGGACTATGTTTTATGAAATTTATTCTGCTCCGCCATGCCTCTCCAGGGAGAATGTCACCCACTGTCAGCCTGACTATAATTTTGATGTGAGTGTATGTCACATAGATGATGGAACTTGTCATATGCCCTAATAAAGAGTTTGAATGAATAGATGGAAGCCCCCTAACAGCGCCTCAATTTGACTCTGGGTCTCCCAATCTAGCACAAACTGATATACTCCCCCTAACTGCCCCTCCCCTCCTGTTTGACACTGTGTGCTGCTTTGTGAAGATTGTGGGTGTCAAACTGCCACACTGGGTGGCTTCAAGAAGGAAGGACCCATCCCAGGGACATCTTGGGCCTGCCCTCACATTGAAGCCTGGTACTGCCCATCTCTCCACAGCCCCTCTGAAGCTGAAATCATTCAAAGCTACCTCACAGGAAGTATAAGACCATCTGAACAGAACCTAATAACAGTAGCAACAATAACTACCTTTTATTGAACATTTGTGTATCCTGAGTGCTTTGTATATAGATCCCATGTAGTTGTCACAATAACCCTGTTTTGCAGATGAATATAGTAGATGAGTATACTCAGAAAGGTGAAAAAACTTGCCCCAATCTCCCAGCTGCTGAGGAGAGGCCAGGATTTGAACCCATGACTGTCTGATTCCAAAGACAGGATTTTTAAATACTCCAATATATTGCCTTCCAGCCCCCCTACATTGGCCATGAAGAGGTCAATTTGTCCAAAGGGAATGTGGCCCATCTCTCGGCTCCCAGTGTCCACTGTATGAGGGGCTTGTAGGGAAGGCATTCTTGCAAAAGCAAGGTGAAAAGCATGGAGGTCAAGGAGCTCTCAGGGGTATGGAGGGATCCAGCTCAGGGACTTTCTCTCTGCTGTCAGCTGTCATCTTCTGCTCCGTTTCCCCTGCCTACCCCCTGAGGTCATCACCAGGTCAGAGCTGCCATGTTTGGGGAGCTGGACAGAGGAAGAAGAGGTTGAGTGTGGCAGAGATGTTACAACTTCACACATCCAAAAGGTTTTTCTGCTGTCAAAGAGGAAAGATGCTGGAGCCCCAAAGACAGCTGATAGTCATGTGTGAAAGATGAAAATAAAGGAGAAATGGGAGAAGTGGGAGGAGGGCGGGTTAGGAGGAGAGTGAGGAGGAGAGCAAGAACCTGCTTGAGGCCCACAGGAACTGCTATAACAAGCACCTGCCATTCATTCACCTTTGTCGATCTCCAGCTGCTAACTGGCTGGATTTGGCCTGCATTTATGAGCATATGTTCTGAATTATTCTATTTCGCCAACTAAACCTCTGCACTTTTGTTGTAGAGCAGTGCTTCTCGAGCTTTGGTATAAATCAGCATCTTCTGGGTTTTTTTTAAAGCATAGTTTGCTAGGCCCATGCCCAGAGATTCCAATGTAGGAGATCTCTGGTGAAACCTGAAAAATATGTATTTCTAATAAGCTCCAAGATGATACTGATGCTACTGGCCCATGGACTGACCACATTTTAGGTAACACAGGTTTAGGGGACACCAAGCTGGTGTATGAATGTTCCACTTATCAGTCCTTTCCAGAAAAGTTTGCACTTCAATTCAGGTTTCTAACAAGCTTCCTAAATTCAGCCAACCTTTCACATCATATAGTGAAGTAGGAACTTTAATAAAGGAGTTTGTCTCAAAACCAAGGCAGTAAAGTAAATTCTTTTTAAATTATATTTCAGGAACCAAATCCTGCAGTAGGAATAACTCTATTGAAAGCAGTGAATCCAGAAGTAAATTGGAGAAGCAAGACCACGAGGAGTTAAGCCCTGTTAGAGTCTGTCACCACCTGTAGCTCACTGTTAACCCTCTGCTTGCCCCTCCTTCCAGGTTTCTGGCTCATGTAAGCACCTACACAGAGACACCAGTGGTGGCCTGCATTGTATCGGGATTCCTAGCAGCTCTTCTCTCATTATTAGTCAGTCTGAAAGACCTAATAGAGATGATGTCCATCGGCACGCTCCTTGCCTACACCTTGGTCTCTGTCTGCGTCTTGCTCCTTCGATACCAACCAGAGAGTGACATTGATGGTTTTGTCAAGTTCTTGTCCCAGGAGCACACAAGGAAGAAGGAGGGCATCCTGGCTGACTGTGAGAAAGAAGTCTGTTCTCCTGTGAGTGAAGGGGAAGAGTTTTCTGGCCCAGCCACCAACACATGCGGGGCCAAGAACCTACCATCCCTGGGAGACAACGAGATGCTCATAGGCAAATCAGACAAGTCAACCTACAATGTGAACCACCCCAACTACGGCACTGTGGACATGACCACAGGCATAGAAGCCGACGAATCTGAAAACATTTATCTCATCAAGTTAAAGAAGCTGATTGGGCCCCGTTACTACACCATGAGGATCCGGCTGGGCCTTCCAGGCAAAATGGACCGGCCCACAGCAGCTACAGGGCACACTGTGACCATCTGCGTGCTCCTGCTCTTCATCCTCATGTTCATCTTCTGCTCCTTCATCATCTTTGGGTCTGACTACATCTCAGAGCAGAGCTGGTGGGCCATCCTTCTGGTTGTTCTGATGGTGCTGCTGATCAGCGCCCTGGTGTTCGTGATCCTGCAGCAGCCAGAGAACCCCAAAAAGCTACCCTACATGGCTCCCTGCCTCCCCTTCGTGCCTGCCTTTGCCATGCTGGTGAACATTTATCTCATGCTAAAGCTCTCTACCATCACATGGATCCGGTTTGCAGTCTGGTGCTTTGTGGGTAAGCAATTTCCTTGGGAGCCTTGAGAATTCCCTCTCAAGGCCTTAAACAGGCTTATCCCAAAATTACCTCCTAGCTGGGCTGGGCATCTCCATTGCAAGAGAAATCTGGCTGGTTCTATGGACACTTGCTTTCTGGATTAGAGTCAATAGAGCCAGTTGTGCCCTTTCTGCCTATTATGGTCTTGGTCGTTGGTTCTGAAGAATGATGCTATCAATCCAACACTTCATTGAATGCTATTACTGGACAGTCTTTTTATAGATAATTAATTCTGTAAAAAGTCATTAATTAAAAATATAAATAAATATTATAGAAATATAAAATATAAAAAGTCATTCATTAAAATGAATCCACATAATAAAGGGACAAAAATAACAGTAAAAATTAGAGTGAAAAAGGTGGACTGGAATTCTTTTTTAGAAACTAAAACTTATGAAACTAAAAGCTATGGAAAAATTATTTTTCTTACATTTGACAAAATTAAATTAAAATGCCAGTCGTGCCCTAATTTTTTAAAGGAGCAAAGTATGAATTAAGTGTGGATTTTTGGCATAATTTTTCTGACTAAATTATACCACTTACCATCCCTCACTAAAATATTCAAGAGTTTTTTATTTCTTCCCAAGATTCTTTCGTCATCCTTTGATATTCCAGTCGTTCTCTTGGGAAGCACTCATCACGCCATCAATCTTACTGATTTTCTCTTCGTCTGTTGACAACTGATATGACTCTGCCAGGTCCTCAACTGTCCACAACTTTGGGTGTAAATCAGAGGTGCTCTCTCTAAAGTCACTTTTATTGCCTTCAAAAAGTCATGCCCCTTTCCCAAGATGTTTCATTTTCCTTTGTGGTTGATGTATATTCTATGCACATCTCATGTTTATCACATCCAACAAGCACTGATGTTCATGAGATGGTTGGAGATTGGTGCTCATGGTAACTTGAGAGGGATATTTAGTGAAGACTAATTTTAAATTTCCTTAGTCACTATCTTTATCTCCCTAAACAAATTGATAGCCCTGAGTTCCCATCCACCCCTTGATATAGGAATACAGGTGTTTAGCACTGTGTCCTCCGTGCCTGGCACACAGCATGTGCTTAATAAATACTTCTCTATGACTACACTTCAGATGAGAGAAAAAAAAGGGTAGCTGGAAAGGAACTTGAGGAGGTGGAATTTGAACTATAAGCCTACGGATGTTTGGGTGTCTCAGTTGGTTGAGCATTCAACTCTTGATTTTGGCTCAGCTCATGGTTCCAAGGCCATAGGATCAAGCCCTACATTAGGCTCTGCACTGAGCATGGAGCCTGTTTAAAATTCTCTTTTTCCCTCTGCCCCTCTCCCCTGCTCATGTTCTCTCTTTCTCTCTCTCTCTAAATTATAAAATAAATAAACACACAGAAACTATAAGCCTATAAAATAATATTTGCATGAAGGAAGTGGGGCAAAAACAGTACCCAAAGGAAAGGGTCTAGGTCTTCTGGAAGATTCCTCACCTCCCAAAGCCATCCTGTGTCTTCTTATAGGCATCTTGTCCCAATTTTTCACAACTCTAGGTTTCATCCTGTTAGACTTTAGGGGGAGTTCTTGAGAGAACCCCACTCACCCCTCAAAGTTTAAACTACTTACATGATTTATTCACAATCTCTCCTCTCCATTTAAACATTTTTCCACTGGAACATGTAGCCAACTAATGGAAAGATTCTACTGTGGGTAGAAGTGACTGAAGAAGGTAGAAATATTTCAATCATATATTTGTCAAGTGACTGAAGACACAGACACGAAGTTACATCCATTTATTCATTCATTCCTAGAGTATTAAGGCTGGAAGAGACCTTCAATATCCAGCATAATCTTACCAACTGTTGGTAGCCATCCCATCAGTAATATTTGGGCTGATTTTAGAAAGAATATGAATGGACTTTTTTTGAATTTTTAAAAGTATTATATAGCTATTATACATTTTCACACATACTAGAAAAAATATATATATTCAAATGAATCTGGTGATTATTTTTAAATTTAAAAAATGAGTCAAATTAAAGAAAAAGCATTAGTACTAGTGCAGGTGCCATGCTACATAGTAATAACTAACACTTAATATATCCCTTATCACATACCAACCATTATTCAAGGGTTTTCCTCACATTAACTTATGTATTCCTTACAGCAATCTTCATTTTACAGATGAGGAAGTGGAGACACTTGACTGAGGTCACATAACTAGAATTTAGTGGAACCAAAATTAGAAGTCAGGTAGTATGCATCCAGAGATCATGACCATGGCCATGACATGAAATATGTGGTATAGAAATAACCAAAGTTTGAGAAACACTGACATCATCTACCCTCCCCTACCTCTCCCTCCTCTCTCCACATCACAGATGACTAACCTGACCCTCCCAAAGGTTAAATAACATGCTCAAGGTCAACAGGAATAATTGGAGGTTATTCACAGAGCTATTATTAAAAACCTAGTATCTCCACACCCAGATCTGCAGTCTGTACCTCCCCACCAAGGTGCCTCTGAGCATCCTTCTTATTGGATCAGGATGTGTGATACATGGCTTGTGTGGATTAACACCGAACATCAGAGCTGACTCCATGCACACACAGGGCCCCACATTTGGCCTAATGTTCTGCTGCTGCTTTCTTGAATTCTTAACAACTTTTTTCTCTTAAATAGTTTATTGTCAAGCATGTTTCCATATAACACCCAGTGCTCATCCCCACAAGTGCCCTCCTCCATGCCCATCACCCCCCTTCCCCTCTCCCTCACCCCATCTGCCCTCAGTTGGTTCTCAGCATTCAAGAGTCTCTCATGGTTTGCCTCCCTCCCTCTCCCCAACTATTCTTAACAACTTTCCAACAAGGGGCTCTATGGTTTCATTTCACACTGGGGTCTGCAAATTACATCGCCAGTTCTGCCCTAAATCTATGGTTTCTGGAACACCAGAGGCACATTGCGAAAGTGGTAAGGTGGCAGCGACCCTTGCCTTGGAGTCAAACTGCCCAGGTTCAAATCACAGCTCTGCCACCCCTGTGTCCCGTGACCTTCGGTCACAAGCTCCTTTGGGTCTCAGTTTACTCATCGTAAAAATGCAGATAATTCTACTAGTCATGATCTGGTTGCTGTTTGGGGCTCAAATAAATGGGGCTTAATAAGAAAATATTGGGGAAAGTAATGAGGATTATTTCTTTCCTGCCTTCCTTTTTAAAATCTAAAATGATTCATTGTCACCCAGGCTAGCTATCACATGCCAAAGTACAGCATGAACCTGTTCTGACTCAGGCTGCCCTCCCAGTTATCAGGCAGAAGAAAACTCCCAGAGAGGCTTTTGTACTCTTGCTGATAACATAAACTTCAAACTCGCTCCAGAAATTGATACTCCGTGACATGGGAGGGGCCGCCGCGCAGCCTGAGGCTGGCCAGACAGAGGACACAGGAGCTCACAGCTAGCATCCAGCTGCTAGCCACTAACCGCATTAGCATTGTGGCCTTTGAGGACTGGTCCATGAGGAAGTTCTGCCTAGAACAAACATTCTCCATCCTGACTACACACCAGAATCACCCAAGCTGCTTCTGAAATATTCTATGCCCAGGATCCTCCTCTCAGAGATTTTCTGATTTAATTGGTCTGGTGCAGCCAAGCATTGGGTATTTTTCTGAAGCTCCCCAGGGAATTTTAATGTACGGGCAGGTTTACAATGATCTAGGACAGTGGTTCTCCAAGTGTGGTCTCAGGCCAGCAGCATCAATACATAAAACAGGTTAGGAACGAGATTTTGAATCCCATCCCAGACCTGCCAAGTCAAAATCTCTGAGAGGAATTTAGGTTGTAACAAACCCTACAGATTAGTCCGATGCCTGCTCAAATGTGACAAGGACTGGTCTAGAGAGAAGAATAAGAAGATATTAGGAAGCAAGGCAGATAATTTAATTACAAAAACTCCCTGTTTTTCAAACAGAGTTTTGCACATATAAAACATATCCATCCCACAACCCCAAATTGACTTATACAATCGTCAATGATCTCATAGATTAAATATCCCATCTCAACTTCTGACTCTCCAAAATGTCAGGTTTTTATTTCGTGATTCATAGTATAACTTTCCTGGGGAGAACAGTAGAGATATTTTTAAACAGAGCTTCTTACGAAACATTAACTACTTTTTAAAAAGAAGATTTACATGTTAGGCTGAGTCATAACCTGATAATCTTTTTAGGCATATCTTTTTAACCAGACTTCTCTAAATGAATCTTAAATACAGCATTTTTCTAACAACTTTTTGCTAAGCTTTTAACCTTCAGATGAGCACGACTCATAGAGTAAAATAAGGCACAAGTCCCAACAAGATTACTCAGCACTTGTTTCTTTTTGTTCAGACAGGAGAAATAACAGGCGCAGCAAATGTTTGATAATCTCCAGCAAAATGAGCACAGAGCAGACTTCCTCTTCTCTCAGCTGATGCAGTTTTGTAAAAGAACACCTCAAAGGGCTGGGCAGATTCTCAGGGAGCCTGAAACTAGCAGTTACCAGTGATGATGCGATACAGCGGTACTTTCCAGGTCTACGGGTCCCTGTGGGACGGGAGTATAAAATAATCATCGGGTAGACCAGCTCATGGGCACCCTCACTCTGAGGGCTGCCATGTTCTCACCTGGAATTTTTTCAGCCCCTCAGAGAAAACCCAAATTCTCTTCTATAGATTTAGAGAACAGACAGTAATTTGGCAATGAACTTCATAAATCCTGTACTAAAACATGATTTCCAAAGAGAAGACACACCTGAACTATCATTTGAAATTCCTGTTGGAAATGGACTCAAAGCAGTCATTGTCATGCAGGGAAGAAGAGAGGAAGAAGGGGGCCATGAATTGGGAGCAGAGAGGGCACCAAGGTAAATCAATTCCTGAGGATATGTCCCATAAATAAGCTTGAAATTCTCCTGTAGGCAGAGGAGAAAACAAGTGGCAACTTCAACAAATAAATCTTGCT